TAACTGCTTTTTCGTCAACGACACATTCTTTTCTATGTCTTTATCCGCTTATAGCAGTTCTTTTTTATTGAAAAATCGACCGTCATATCAGTTCACTTCAAGTTTTCTCAAGGGCTTCAAGAAAACGGCTGTCATTTCCCAATATATATGAAACTCTTCTTCAAGTATTAAAAAAAAATATGAATCGGCAACAGATCAACCAATTTTGGCAGTATCAACTGCTTGAGTCTAAACGGCCTTTAAAATTGCAAGAATTTTCACATAAACAGTCTGCAAATTTTCCCTAGTTTCTACTTCACAAGTGTATATTTTCTGCAAATTGTCACGTGACTTTTAAAACACTCTGTATATTATTAGTTGATGACTGACAATGTAACGTCAGTTTAAAAATAATTAAAAGAAAAAAAAACGAAAAAAAGACAGATGGCCAAAAAACAGTCCTGAAAAAAATAGCGGCGGCCACAACAGGGTCCCAAAAACCGCACCACCATCCTGTTTGGGGGTTTCGGCGTTAAGACGAGCTGGCCCTGATTACAGCGCAATAAATGGCTTATTACTACAATGCCATTCCATAAACTGTATATTAGAGCGTTGTCATTTTATAACTAGTTTATTACAATGTTGTTATTCCCAAAATAGTATACTATAGAGTAGTCGCTCTATAAATCGTATATTAATAATTCCTTAACTAGTAAATTACAAAGTAGTCATTCCATAAATTGTAGGTTACAGCATAGTAATTATATAAATTGTATATTACAGTGTTTTCATTCCATAAATTGTATATTATATCGTCATCATTCCATAAATTGTTTATTGCAGAGTTGTCATTCCATAAATTGTTTATTGCAGAGTTGTCATTCCATAAATTGTATATTACAGCTGAGTCATTCTATAAATTGTATATTAAAGTGTTTTTTGAATTTTGATTTTGCAAGTTGAATATGCAAGTTACATATCTTTGTGAAGGAAGAATCGCTCAGCTGGGTATGATGCAAACACATACTGAAAAACGAATGAGAAAAAACTTGCGTTGTTTTATGTCTCAGTTTGAATTAACATTTTACTCACACGCACACATACACATGCACTCACATACACACACATGCACAAAAGCACACACACGCATACGCACATGGAAATGTTACAAACTCTATATATATTTCATTCATTTTCAGGTTTTTGAGCAGACATACAAAAGTTGAGTTTTATATTTTATTTATATTCACGCGATTTTTCAATTTTTCATTCAATCTGTCCTGTGTGTATTTTTGTCAAAAGCCCTAGAAATTTTTGTTTTAAATAAACTTTCCATTTGAATTTTTCTAGAAAATTTCTTCAATCTGTCCTCAGTGTGAACAACCTTTTTATTACTTCAGTTTTGCATATGTTTTCTCATTATAAGTAACAGAAATGCCATTCTGATTGTAAGTATACATTTAACATATATATTTTCCTTTCCTCATTATGAGCCCTAGAAGTTTCATCAAAATCAAAAAATTCTACTTTTTCTTCTACACCTATGAGAAATAAATTCAATTTTCAACATGAACACTTTTTCTTCTTTCTAACTAAAAAATAATCTAATGATTCTCTAAGCGCCTTCGAATTTTTCAAACATAAGAAAATGTTATTTTTAGTGCTTTTGCTTTAATTTGAAGCATTGTATTAAATTTATTTCCATTTTAAATCGATAAATTGTTAAACATGATTAGGCCTCCCTAGTTTTTTGTTAAACTTCATTTAAGAACGCCAAGAATGTGAGTAAACATCCGACAGATGACATTCTGACAGATGACATTTGCATGTTTTATTTTTTGACAGCAGGAGGGAAAACTATGGAAGCTGCTAAATATTTATTTGTAATAAATATAGTTTTTTCTTAATACAATTCGTTACTTACATGAATGCCGAGTGCAACAAGACGAAATACACATCATTGCCAGCAGGAGTCAACATTCATATGGCGGAAGACGTTCAACCAGTATTTGAAACAGAGAAACTGAACAATAAAATTAAATGCGGTCAGAAGTGTGCAGATGAGAAATTCTGCAATGTGTGGCGATTTGGTTTGGGAAACTGTCAAATTTTCCACTCCATGAAGGACAAAGTGACAGTGAGAAGATCAACAAATACATCAACAAAGACATATTATGAAACAGGAAAAGGTGAGCTTCTGTTGTAAATAATATTTAAATATGAATCATTTCGATATTCATCAATAAAATCCAACCTATTAATTTATTCATATTTCATTATCCTTTTACATATAATCTTTACTAATTAAAATGAACATTATTGCAATTATCATCTTCATTATAATTTTCTTTATGACATTATCAATATCCTTATCATTATCATATTGATTTTTATTCTGATGGTGATATTCACTGATAAAACTCAGTCCCTTATCAATCCAATCGATACCAGCTAAGCTAAAACCATAGACATTATCACGAAGAATATTAATAACGTTACATGTAGATACTTATTGAAAATAAATTAAATTTTAATCTCAACTAAAATCATCAAGAATTTGACTGGAATTCGATCTCTGATTCTTTAATCCTAACAATAATCTATTACTCCACCGTACATGCATAACTTGAAAACAATATTTATTTCAAACTCTGTTAAAATCCTCTGCCTCCTCCTCATCATCATCTTGGTCATTGGATCACCATCATCACCCCCACCCCGAAATCGGATTACAGTTCTCAATCCAAAATCATTTTCGGCGACTGCTGTTGGAATTTTCCCAATCAGCATCACAAAATCCTTCCAGTTGTAATTGGTTTTTCTGATTGTCGAAATACTAGGCACCGGTTCTTAGTTCCCTTTAGATAACGTAATACTTGCTTAGCTCTTGTTAAATGCACATTCCCCGGTTTATATAAGTTTTGGGACAACTTAGTAACCGTATAGCAGATATCTGGCCTGGTTGATGCCATGACGTAAATAAGACTTCCAACCAATGTTCTGTATTCTTTCTCACACGCCGCTATACCATCTTCATTATTCATAATTGTGTTTAAATCCATTTCACATGGAGTAGTTCGTGTTTTACAATTTTGCATACTGAATTTAGATAAGATCATTTCGATGTATCTGGATTGATTCATTGGAAAGTGTTGTCCTTAAATTCGAACTGTATACCAAGAAACAATGATAGTCGACCCAAATCGGCCATTTTAAACCTTATATTTATGAATTTTTAATTTTTAATAGAGCAGCTTCACATTTTGAAGCAATTAACATATCGTCGACCCAAATAATCAGAATTACTAATATTTCATTATTAAATATTCTTGTGTACAGGCATGGGTCAACTTGGGAGGATTCAAAATGTTGTTCAATTAAATAGGAATGTATTAATTTATTCCACGTTCTCCCGCTCTGTTTGAGTCCATATGGTGACTTTTTGAGTTTCCATACATAATTATCACCTTCTTCAAAACCTTCTGGCGGTTCTATGTGTATTTCATAGTCAATCGGAGCATTTAAATAAGCTGCTTTAACATCCATATGGTGTATATCCATACCATAATGTGCGGCCATTTGCATCAAAATTCTAATTGTTGTCATGTTTGTTATTGGACTGAATGTTTCTACATAATCTTCCCCGTATATCTGCAAAAATCCTTTAGTTACAAAACGAGCTTTATACACTGGCGAGCCATCCTCAGTTCGCTTTATAATATAAACGCAACGGCTGCCGATAATATTTTTATCATCCGGGGCCTTTTTCAATTCAAAAGTATTATTTAATACTAAGGATTCAATTTCTTTTTGCATGGCGGCTATCCATCGTTTGGAATTATCAAAATTTATGGCTTCTTGATAGTTCTTCGGGATACATTGTACCGAATAGCAACAGTCAATGTCACAGATATTACATTGACCCATTCCAAAATAGTCTGGCTTTCTTCTATTTCTGGTCGGATAGCGTGAAATTTGTCCCCCCTCATCGGTTGTATTTTCTTTTAACTCAAGTTTTGCGTCAGATTTTTCCTCGTCTACATCATCTGGTACAACACATTCCTTTAATTGTCGATTTTGAATCCTCCCAAGTTGACCCATGTCTGTACATAAGAATATTTAATAATGAAATATTAGTAATTCTGATTATTTGGGTCGGCGATATGTCGGAACGCGAAGAAAAAGAGACGACGTACGGTGTTGGCAGCACTATCCCCTCACATCTGCCTGCCGAATCACGATGGGCCTCCACGACATACGGCGAGCGATAGAGGGTTACATCTGAAGCAGGGACAGATGCGGCGAAGGAGCGAGCCAAGAGGTTTGTCCTGGAGTAGAGTATTCGGACAGTTGTTCCTAGAGATTCCGCTAATCGCGAGAGTAGGCGGCGTTCTCCTGGGAAAATTGTGCGAATACGTTTCCTACTCCGAAGGAATGCTGGCCAAGGCGAAAACGGCTAAGGCACATTCGGCTTAGACGGCATGACGAAGTCGAGGAGCGCGGTGGCAAGAGAGAAAAAAAAAGAAAAAAAAAGCAGTCAGTGATCAGCGAAAGTTGAGGTAAAAGCGAGAGAAAGCAAATACAACACGCGTGGCAGCGAAAGGCTGAGGCCTAAACCGCCGCGAGGCGCAAATTGCCGTCTCTGCGACGCTAACCGGACAAGCTCGATCTCCCTACCAACTTATACTTTGAATCCGGTTCGTGTAACAACCTTTGCTTTTTTAAAAAATTTCATACTAATCAATACAGAAACTACAGGAAAAGCTTAGAAACGACATAAAAACAACAATCAATAGGTTTAGTTTGATATTCGAATTTTATTTTTTGAATTTTTTCCAAAAAATCGAAAATATGAACTTCGTTCGGAAAGTGACTTCGCCGACCACTGCCGAGACGGGCGACGCGCGTCCGGCGACGGCAAACGAAGCCCTTAGATGGACTTACGCGCTTACCTTCTAAGGCGCATTACGGGAGTCCGACTACGGCAAACAAAGGCCTTAAGAAATCGGCACTACTTGGGTATGCTGGTCCGACGACCACTGCCGAAGCGCATTACGGGAGTCCGGCTACGGCAAACGAAGGCCTTAGGAAATCGGCGACTTGGGTATGCTGGTCCGACGACCACTGCTGAAGCGCATTACGGGGATCCGGCTACGGCAAACGAAGGCCTCCTTCGACGAAACCTTCAAGGCGGCATTCTGGGAAGATAGGTCCTTCAACGAACTCGGGCGGCATTTAGGAAAATAGCGCGCCGAAGGAACACCGCCCAAGACGAACACACAGCGAAGGCGGCGGCGGCGCATTCGGCTTAGACGGCGTAGCGATCACCATGGCAAGGGAAAAAAAGCAGAGATCAGCGAAAGTTGAGGCAAAAGCGAGAGAAAACAAATGTAACACGCTCGGTAGCGAAAGGCTGAGGTCATAATCCGCCGCGAGGCACGAAATTGTTGTCTCCGCCGCGCGCTAACCGAACAAGCTCGATCTTCTCTAGCAGGATAAGCTCTGAACATTGTTCGTGTAACAAGGTTTGCTTTTTTTTCAAAATTTCATACTATTCAATGTAGAAACTATACCAAAAGCTTAGAAATGACATAAAAACAACAATCAATAGGTTTAGTTTGATATTCAAATTTTATTTTTTGAATTTTTTCCAAAAAACCGAAAATCCTCACTTCGTTCGAAAAGTAATTTCGCCGAGCACTGCCGAGGCAGGCGACGCAAACGACTAAGGCCTTCGACGGACTCGACGCACTTACCTTCCGAGGGAGGCAGGCAGGCAGGCGCATTACGGCGTTCCGTCTCTCTCTGCGCCGGTACTCGCCCACTCGCCACCGGCGAACGCTGTTCGAGTAACAACCTTTGCTTTTTTGAGAAAGTCTCGTGCTAGCTAGTGCGCAGAGTGTGCCAAAAGGTCGGCAACGACACGGCAAGCACAATCGACACGTTCAATTGCGTTCTCGAATCTCGGTTTTCTCTCGACAGACACAGTTCACGCGCGCCGCCGCCGACCGACCACTGCCGAGCCGGGCGGCTCCCGTCCGGCGACGGCAAACGACGCGAAGGAGGGAAGCAAGCAAGCAAGGCATTCGACGGAACTTGCGCGCACTTACCTTCCAAGGCGCATTACGGGCGTCCGGCACGGCAAACGAAGGAGGAGGACGAGGAGGGACAGGAGGCGCCCTTCCTTCGACGACGACGACGACACTCAGGCATTCGTTCGCCGATTCGACGGACTTATTACTCACTCACACGCTTCTGAGTCGCATTACGGGCGCCCGGCGATGGCAAACGAAGGAAGGCCTTCGCGAAATCGGTCGGCACTACTTCGAGCCAGTGGTCCGACGAGCACTGCCGAGAGGCGCACGACGCGCGTCCGGCTACGGCAAACGACGAAGGCCTTCGACGGACTCGACGCACTGACCTTCCGAGGAAGGGAGGCAGGCAGGCAGGCGCATTACGGCGTTCCGTCTCTCGCTGCGCCGGTACTCGCCCACTCGCCACCGGCGAACGCTGTTCGTGTAACAACCTTTGCTTTTTTGAGAAAGTCTCGTGCTAGCCAGTGCGCAGAGTGTGCCGAAAGGTCGGCAACGACACGGCAAGCACAATCGAAACGTTCAATTACGTTCTCGAATCTCGGTTTTCTAGCGACAGACACAGTTCACGCGCGCCGCCGCCGCCGCCGCCGACCGACCACTGCCGAGGCGGGCGGCGCGCGTCCGGTGACAGCAAACGACGCGAAGGAAGCAAGGAAGCAAGCAAGGCCTTCGACGGAACTTGCGCTCACTTACCTTCCAAGGCGCATTACGGGAGTCCGGCGACGGCAAACAAAGGAAGGCTTCTATCCGCGTCCGGTCGATCACGTCGCACCACTACGAGGAAGCGGACCGTTCCAGCGCGAGAGTTTTCTTGTCGCCAGAAAAAAATGTGTTCGTTGAAACGGAAAGAAGAAGAAAGAAAAAAAAACAACACAAAATAAAACAGTTATCGTCACACGGAAGACGAACAAACGATTTCGACTTATTGTTCGAACGAAGACCGCGTCGTCCCTCGCGGAGGACGAATCGAGTCGGTCGAGGGCTTAGTCTCAATAGATCGCAGTGTGGTGGCTGCTCTACTAAGTACGACACCCCGAGCCTGTAGTCAAGTGGTCTACGAGCGATCCCTTGTCTCACGCTCTACGGGGGGTTCGAAATTTGACGGCGACGGCAATATCCCGCCTGTCGCGGATGTCAAATCGGGTGGCCCGTTTGCGGACGCCGCCGCGTGCGAGACGACAACCGCCAAAGTAGCGAACGCGCACGGCGACGACGAGCGCCACCGACGCGGACCACGACGACCGCGACCGCCCCTATCGACGACGACGCCCGCTATGGCAGGCTCCAGCGGAACGAAAAGAGACGCCTTTCGTAATACCGTGACGGCACCGGTCACCGTTCCGGCTTAAAGGCTTCCAGCCGTTATCGCGCGGAGGCAGCGTGGCGCCGCCGCTCGTTCGAGCGAGCACGCGAACCGTTGCTCCGATCCCGCGGTTCCTCTCGTACTGGACGGGATAGCCGTGGCCACGGCCGACGTAACATACGTGCCGATTGGTAGGATAAAACTAACCTGTCTCACGACGGTCTAAACCCAGCTCACGTTCCCTGTCAGTGGGTGAACAATCCAACGCTTGTCGAATTCTGCTTCGCAATGATAGGAAGAGCCGACATCGAAGGATTAAAAAGAGACGTCGCTACGAACGCTTGGCCGCCACAAGCCAGTTATCCCTGTGGTAACTTTTCTGACACCTCTCGGCGGAACGGAGCTCTCCGCTCGGAAAGGATCGATGGGCCACGCTTTCGCGGTCCGTATTCGTACTGAAAATCGAGATCGAGCGAGCTTTTTGCCCTTTGCTCTACGCGAGGTTTTCGTCCTCGCTGACCTCGCCTTGGGACACCTGCGTTACCGTTTGACAGACGTACCGCCCCAGTCAAACTCCCCGCTCGGCACGGTCCCCGGCTAAGGGTCGAGCGCGGGCCCCAATCGGGGTGGGGGTGAACCCGCGCCTTTGGCGCTAGCAAGAGGGCCGCCGAGCGACCTGTCCCCTTTTTCACCGGGTGAGCGAGGAAATGACGAAAGTGGCAGTATTTCAGGTTCGACGACACCAAACGACGCCGGTCGCGGCGAAGGCCGGGAAAACTGGGACGAACGAAACGCCGGCCCACCGAGGAGGCGGAGGCCCCCGCCCGACGGAGAAGAAAAACGAAAGCGGGGAGGCGGAGAGTGAACGACGACTAAGACGAGAGGCGCGAACCGCCCACCGGCCGCCGCCGCAAACCCCCCGTCAAAGCGCGAACGGAGCGAACGCTACAGCCCCGTACCCCTCGCTTCGCACGGGCACGGCCCGACCCACCGATCCCGAACCAATCCTTCTTCCGAAGGTACGGATCCATTTTGCCGACTTCCCTTACCTACATTGATGCCATCGACGAGGCTGACCTGAGACCTGCTGCGGATGGTGGGTACGGACCGACTCGAGAGCTGCGAAAACCGGACCCGGATTTTCCAGGGCCGCCGAAAGAGCACCGGACGCCGCCCGAGCCGCGGCGCTCTGCAGGTACCTTTTCCGTTTCTCCGGACGAGCCGATTCCACGGACACGGTCCTTTACGAAGAAGAGAGAACTCTTCCGGGGCTCTCGGCGACGTCTCCGGGCTCGCTTGCGTCACCGCGGTTTCGCCCGAGGAGCGACGAGACGCCACCGACACCGCTGCCAGCAGCGCCGCCACCACCGGGCACTTTCCGAGTCCGGGTTCAGGAATTTTAACCCGATTCCCTTTCGACGGAAGGCTGGCCGCTCGTCGTTCGCGTCGTTTTGTTTGAGGACAACAAAAGAGAGACTTACGGATCCGGCGCCTTTCGGGAAGACTTTGTTTGCGTCTTAGGGACCGACTGACCCGTGCTCGACCGCCGTTGGCATGGAACCCTTCTCCACTTCGGTCTTCAAAAGTCTTGTTCGAATATTTGCTACTACCACCAAGATCTGCACCGGCGGTCGGCTCCACCCAGGCTCGCGCCCTAGGCTTCCGTGCTCACCGCGGCGCCCTCCTACTCGTCGCGGCATCGGTCAGGCGCGCGCATCGTTTTTGTTTCAGCGCAAGCGCTCCTCGCCGCGACGGTCCGGCATCGGTCCGTCGCTCCAGCGCCATCCATTTTCGGGGCCGGTCGATTCGGCAGGTGAGTTGTTACACTCCTTAGCGGATTCCGACTTCCGTGGCCACCGTCCTGCTGTCTATATCGACCGACACCCTTTCAGGGATCTCATGGGCGTCGCGTTAGGCACCTAGCCGGACGTTTGGTTCATCCCGCAGCGCCAGTTCTCGACGACCAAAAGTGGCCCGTGGCAAGTTCATTCGTTTCTGCCGCCGTCGAGACGACGAAGGCGGCAGAGAAGCAGGACGCGAACGTATTCCGGAGAGTTCGACCCGAGTTCCACCCGTTCTCCGAGTTCGGGAAAGGTCGAGGAACCGAACGGGACGGACGGGAAAAGGGGAAAACGTTCGACGGGACGAAGATGGAAAGCGTTGATCGAACGCCAGCGGCGAGGGAAGGCGGAGGAACCGAAACTAGACGGCTCGATTGGTCTTTCGACACTACACCCGGTTCCGACGATCGATTTGCACGTCAGAGGCGCTTCGGACTTCCACCAGAGTTCTTCTGGCTTCATCGCGACCGGGCGTGGATCGCCGTGTTTCGGGACGGGGCCGGTGGGTTGCGCCAGAGTCGCGGACCCGAGTCGTACGGGCGGACAGTCAAACGCCGACCGACCGCGCTGGGGTGATGCCCTCGCGCGCAGCGCCTATTTTCGACGACCGGACGCGGAGAAGACGACGCGACGAGACTCACCGGTGGGCGATGGAGGGAAGTTCGAGGCTGCACCGCGCCGGAAGCCCCCGTGAGTTTCCCCCGAATCCCCCTGCGTCATCTCGCGGCGCGGGAAACGTGGAGGAACCGAGGGGACGGACGGAGGAAGCGCCGGGAAAACGAACGACGGGAAGAAGACGGTTCGCGCCGGTAACGGAATTGGGCACCTCCGTAGGCAGGCGGAAGGAAGCTCGCGGGCCTGCCGGAAACGCTCCGCCCGCGACAACCAGGGGTGGAGTTTAGGTGCGCCTTCCGCGCGTCGACCTCTCGCTGGGAACGGGTCTGAACGGACCGAGGGGGTTCTTCGGTGCCGCCGTGCGGAACTGAGCGTCGAATGGGAAGGCCCGCGCGGTCCGATGCCGAGCAAAGGACTGGTGCGGATGGATCGCCGATGAGGAGGAGCCACGACGGGAGCGAGGTGACGGGCGGCAGCAGCAGCAGACGACGCGAATCGCCGCCACAGCGGCGGCAGCAGCGACCCAGCAGCGACAGCGGCGCCCAGATTTTGGCGTCCGACGCGCGCTCCTCGTTCCTGCGGACGTTTTCTCCGCGGCGAAGCGCAAAAGCAAATCCGGTGCGTCGAGGTCGGTTGCCGCCGGCAGCTCCCGACAAACAGCGTTTCCCCGCCGCGCGCCCGAGAACGACGTCCGCTGAGGCCTGTGATGGGCGCCGCCGCGCGGATCGTCCGGCAACAAGAAACCGGTTTGGGCCACGTGCAACGGATAGCGATGGCGGTGAGCGGTCCCCGTTTACCCCAGGGCGGTTTCACGTTCGCTTGAACGGCCCGACAGAAGACCCCCACGGCCCTTGTCGAGTATCGGACTCGTCCGGTATTTAGCCTTGGATGGAGCTTACCACCCAATACGGACACCGTTCGCGTCAACCTGCACGCCGGGATCGGGCCGTCGCTCGACCGTCCGGACCGAATGGGCCTGGCACCCGCCGGTGCCGGCCGATCGAGGGAATGTGAAGCGTCGAGACGGAAAAGCGCCATCGACCCATGCGCCGAGCGATGGAAAGGTGCCTTTGATCGCGAGGATTCGACGTTGGGAGGAGTTCGACGGCCGCCACGGCGGAAGCAGCAGGCTTTTCTCCGCTTAGCGAATCGCCGCCTTCAGCGGGTCGTCTCGTCCGAGCCAAAGGGCGGCAGTGTTTGCTCTAAATTTCGACGACAGCAAAACGCGACGACCCGCTCGGCGACGGCAGCGAATTCGGCAGCGGCGGAGGGTGCGGCGGCGGTGGAGGCCGGCGGCGGCAAGAGCGCCGACAGACGCCGACGCCCCGCCGGTGACCCAGAGCGAAACGACGTCCGCGCCGGCGCTGCTGAGGCGCCGTGGCCGGACGAAATCGTCAGGCAACAATCAACGTCTGTTCGCGGTCGTACGGCAGCGACCCCAAGCGGAGACGAAGGAGGGAGAAGAAGAAGAAGAAGAAGAAGAAGAAGAAGAAGAGCAGCAGCCTCCTCCTACTCCTATTCCACCTGCGACGTCCCGGTTTCCTCCGCGTGAGAAACGGGCAATTCTTTCAGGAAGGAAGAAAGAACGACGCGGGGGACGGTGAGATGCCTCTCGACTATCAAGAGAGAAGACATGCCATTTTCCGCCTCTCGACCAGACGGGGCCCCGATACAAGGGATCTCGAGGCCGCAATGTGCGTTCGAGGTGTCGATGTTCACTGAGTCCTGCAATTCGCATCAGTTCTCGCGGCTGGCCGCGCTCTTCATCGACGGACGAGCCGAGTGATCCCCCGTCCAGGGTTTTGTTTTTTTTTGTTTTTGGATACTTTTTCGTGACAGGTTAAAAAATGTGTGCGAGGAGAAGCAAGGAGGCCGAGTTGTTGCGCGCGCGACCGACACGGTAGTAGTCCACAGCAGACTGGCACCCCGGCAAATACCACAAATTTTGTCGGGGACATTGACGGCGGCGTGGACCGTACACGTCACCACGTCGACGTCGGCGGTGGGAGACGGAGGCTGGTCGGCGGCATCGGTCTTCTCGCGATCGTGGCTGGCGTTAGCGGCGGCGGCCTCAATCGAATCGCGTGCGCGTCTAACCGAACTCGACCACCCCCGCACAGGGGACGTAGATGCGGCGGAAGCGGCAGCGGCGGTACGTGAAACGGAATGTCTGGACGTAAATGCGGCTGGAGACGGGCGCCCGTCTCGCGCAGGGAGCAGAGGATATTCTTTTTTTTTGTCGGACGAGTAGGGAGGAGCAGCATCAGCGGCCACTTCTTTATGCCTGCTGCCGCGAAACGGGCGCAAGCTCCCTCACCCCTGTTTCGCCGACGAATAACGTGCTGCCCGCGACCGACCAGTCATTGACGGCGGTCTCCTGACGGCGATACACGCTCGCTACGAGTCTCGACCGACGAGTCGTCTCCCGAAGGCGGCGGGGAGAGGGTGACCCGACGGCGTTTCGAGAAATGAAAGCGACGGACACGACGACGACGGCGGCGACGAGTCATCGATAATGCTCCTTCCGCAGGTTCACCTACGGAAACCTTGTTACGACTTTTACTTCCTCTAAACGATCGGGTTCGGTCGTCTTCTCCAGGCATCGAACGCCGAGGCGAATACGACACGCGCGTGAAACGGCGGCGGAGACCGCAGCCGCTGCGCCACGTGCACGCTGCCCGGCGGCGTCGTCGGCCAGATCCGAGGACCTCACCGGACCGTTCGATCGGTAGTAGCGACGGGCGGTGTGTACAAAGGGCAGGGACGTGATCGACGCGGGCTGTTGACCCGCGCCTACCGGGAATTTCGTTCACGGGGTTGCCCGAGGCCCCGATCCCTATCACGGAGGTGGTTAAGAGGTTTCCCGACCCTCTCGGGCCGGGGCGAAGTCCCCGCTGATACCTCCAGTGTTAGCGCGCGTGCGGCCCCCGGAACATCTAAGGGCATCACAGACCTGTTATCGCTCCGCCTCGTGTGGCTTTCTGCCACCCGTCCCTCTAAGAAGTGCGTGAGAAAACCGACCCGGACCCGGGCGCTGCGATGAACGCCGAGCCCGCCGTTGAATAAAACACACATCGGCGCACTAGTTAGCAGGCCGGAGTCTCGTTCGTTATCGGAATCAACCAGACGGATCGCTCCACCAACAAAGAACGGCCATGCACCACCACCCACCGAATCGAGAAAGAGCTATCGATCTGTCAATCCTACCGGTGTCCGGACCGGGTGAGTTTTCCCGTGTTGAGTCAAATTAAGCCGCAGGCTCCACTCCTGGTGGTGCCCTTCCGTCAATTCCTTTAAGTTTCAGCTTTGCAACCATACTCCCCCCGGAACCGAACTCTGGTTTCCCGCAGGCTACCCGCCGGGTCATGGAAGCGAACGCCGGCGGATCGCCGGTCGGCATCGTTTACGGTCGGAACTACGACGGTATCTGATCGTCTTCGAACCTCCGACTTTCGCTCTTGATCGAGGAAAACGTGCTTGCCACACGCCATCGCTGCAGTTCGTCTTGCGACGATCCAAGAATTTCACATCTAACGTCGCAATACGAGTGGCCCCGACCGCTCCCTTCGATCATTGCCTCGCCGTAGACGGAGACCGACAGACGTAGACGAGGCCCTCTTCCATCATTCCATGCTTATCGTATGCAAGCTTGAACAGCCCGCTCTGAGCACTCTAATTTTTTCAAAGTGAACGTACCGGCCGCCGCGGACACTCGGTCAAGAGCACCCTTGGAGGAGAAACCGCCGACCGCGCACGCGCGCAAAACGGACGCGAAGATTAGACGCGGAGGTAGGTAGAGCAGGGCCGAGGTAAGACTGGAGGATGAGAGGGGAAGAGGAGGCCGCCGCGCGGAAAGAACAGCGGCAGGGAAGCCCGCGGCGACAACGATCCATTTTGCCGACTTCCCTTACCTACATTGATGCCATCGACGAGAGGCTGTACACCTTGGAGACCTGCTGCGGATGGTGGGTACTGATCGGATAACGCGAAATTTGTCTCCCTTCATCGGTTGTATTTTCTTTTAACCCAAGTTTTGCGTCAGATTTTTCCTCGTCTACATCATCTGGTACAACACCTTCCTTTAATTGTCGATTTTGAATCCTTCCAAGTTGACCCATGTCTGTACATAAGAATATTTGATAATGAAATATTAGTAATTCTGATTATTTGGGTCGACGATATGTTAATTGCTTCAAAATGTGAAGCCGCTCTATTAAAAATTAAAAATTCATTAAATATAAGGTTTAAAATGACCGATTTGGGTCGACTGTCATGGTTTCTTGGTATACAGTTCGAATTTCAGGACAACACTATTACAATGAATCAATCCAGATACATCGAAAACTCTTATATTTAAGGAGTTCCAACAGCTGCAAATACTGTAATGATGTATACATTCTGCTTCTGTGTTTGCTCACTGGCGATCTATGTTCAAACTCAAGTGTCGGCAGCGACACTTTATTCCTATATAACAACGTGTCAATTCAATTATTACCAGCTGAGCTGAAATTATAGACATTACCATCAAGAACAGCAACAACTTTGCAATATTTATCCTCAGTCAAAACACACCTAAGATCATCATTGTTGTAGAGTAGTTTCACACTGGAGGCTTGTCTTTGTACTAAGTCGGTCCTAAAATAGGTTCGACGTACAAAACGTTAGGAACTTGATATAATAGGTAATGACGCAGAGAAATCTAGTTGTGGTCGCTGATACTTTAGTATCCGACTAACGGTCGTCCGACATCGACTGACTGACCAACTCAACGACTGACTCGTTACTATTACTATTACTACTATTTATTATAGGTCGGAGAGTCTATTAACTATAGAATAGGTGTGTTCCACTATAACAATCATCATCATCATCATCATCATTGAATCAACATCCTCCTCCTCCCCCGAAAAAAAAAGGACAACAATTCTCAATCCAAAATCATTTTTGGCGACTGCAGACATTTTCACGGTTTATATATTCTGCTCCTGATGCAGAGTAAATATGAAGTCGAAACTCTCGGCTCTTTTCCCTCAGGAACTTTCATCCTTGACCGTTCTCCCATTTTAAGATTTCCAATTTGTGAAAAGGAAATTCTACCCTAAATATTAAGACAAATTATCGCCTAATAATTTCGTTGATTGAAGCAATTGTTTTGATTTCAAAATTCCCGACATATATCACCGATTTCATGTTTATTCCCATCATCTTCAAACTTATAACAGAGTCTCATATTTTCTCCTTTCTTCATCTTGTTGGTTGGCAAGTCATCATCATCATCATCATCATCATTCCATCGAAATCGGACCACAAACCCAATCCAATATTACTGTCAATAACATCGCTTCCATCATCATCATCATCATCATCACCGAAACACCATTCCTTTCAAATCGGACAACAATCCCAATCCAATATTACTGTAAATAACATCGTCTGTTATTTATGAGGTATTGGCAAAGCGTTTCTTTCTGTGTTACAGCAAGAATGTTCGGTCCGACTGTCAGAGCTGACTGCTGGAAATTCCCTCTCCAAAAGGCAGTACCTGCTCCTATTTATAGCCGGGAGAATCCATGCATGCATCGACAAATTACCATAACACAAATGTTAAAAGCCGATTTCTGTTTAAGGGTCGCTGGCCCTTTTTTTTCTACAATCCTAAGTTCAAGCCAAATAATCCACTTAATCCAATTTAGATTCTTAAAGCATTTGACGCTTTGTAATTCCTTTGACGAATGATTATGTCATGTGATAGTTCTGGCTCAAAATTTCTTTTGAAATTAATGATTTAAATCTTCTACTCCTGATCCAGAGTAAATATAAATTTGAATCACTCGGCTCTTTTCCCTCAGGAACTTTCATCCGTCACCGTTCTCCCATTTTAAGATTTTCAACTTTTTCAAAAGTGCCCCTTAAATATTTAGACAAAGTATTACCAATTCAGAATTAAATGAAAGGTTCTTAGGTACATTTGCATATGAACAGAAATTCTGATCTCTTAAAGTGAATTAAAGCCTTTATCCTTTCTTATCAGAAATGTCTTGAAGAATCTTAGATTCTGGGCATGATCTTTTTATCTAAACTAAATACAGGAAAATTAGGAAGCTTTTATTTTCATAGAACGCGTGTCTTTTTAAAATTGGAAAATCAGAATCCAGGATTTGTAACTGATTTATTATTGCCACATTTACAAATTTTAAGTGGAGAGTCTTAGGTTGTTTTGTCTTTTCGTAAGTTCAAGCCATATCAACAATTAATTTTATTTCGCCTCTTTTCCCTGAAGAATTTCAACTTTTGTAATTCCTTTGACTGTGTTAAGTGACAGTCGGAGATCTATCCTCTTTTGTATTTGATGATCTTACAAATATTTTTATTTAGATGACCAATGGATGAAAATCTATTATGTGAAAGACGAAAGTGGAATCCATGTTGCGCCAACCTTTTTGAAAGTCAGAGTTAATGGCTCGATTCCATTAAAGTACGTCCATAAACAGTGTCCCGGATTTTTTCGCAGTTCGTTCATTGATATTTGGAATACTCTACCAATAATAAAAGTAAGACCATTCTAAAATTTATTCCTTTTTCACACAAGGACTTGACTTATTTTATTTTATGATATCTGCCCAAACTGATCTTGCTAATTCTTTCTGAATTTTCCCACAATTCTAGAGTTCAAACATGGGAAGCTGGCGGTCTATTCGCTGGGGCAGTAAAATCGATTTCCACTGAATGGAACATGCCCGTAATTCGGAGTAGTCTTGGTAAGGGTGTGGCGTGTACACAAAGTTTTATTAACCAGATTGACACCCTCATTATCTATGATAATCACAATTTCTCAATTTCCATTGAATACTTCCGGATTAAGCAATTCAGGTTTGATTGTCCGCTTATCCTATCGTGTTGATACCCCATTTTCGTTCACTTTTCCTTTTTAGTCTTGTCAAGCCGATAATTACGATGACTAAGTCAATGAGATTTTAATATAACATTTAGTTCGTCATTTCAAATCTGCCATTGAAGCGTATATGTATCAGTTTAATCTACATGAGATATCAAGCTTTGACAATTAAATACAAAACACGATACTTGTTAAAAAACATTTTTGAAATAAAATATGCATTCAAGATTATCAAAAAAATGTTTTATTCTTCATCACAAGTAATGATGAATCTCTGATATGGGTTTATATTATTGCAAGTCAGCAGTGATGAATGAATGTATAACTCTCAAAACAACGTAGTTTCTGATTTTCTGTCATTAAATGTGGAATTTAACAGCAAGTTTTCTTGTATTGCTTTCAAATCTAAAATTCTCAGTTTGTCTTTTCTCAAATCGTCAAACTTAATTTCTTCTCGATTATATTCATTTCCAGATTGTAATTCCTAGAAACATGGTCGTAATATTTCTTTGTTACAACTTTTTAATCCAAATGCTAAGTTGATATTTATCCAAACCTCAAATGAATTGTATCTGAATTGAAACACATACAAAAGGATAATCATGATTGCTTGACAGAGATGAAAATAAAAAATGATCATGAAGACAATATGAAAAATAAATACTAAAAAGATACTTAATGGTGCCAGTGATCAGTGTTCAAACGCACTTAACACCATTGATGCTTGGATTACTCTACCCATAAAAAAAGTAAGACGATTCGCTTACCATCTATGATAATCAGAATTTCCCGATTTTGCTAGAATATTTCCAGATTAAGCCTTTTAGGTTTCATTGCCTGCTTTTCTTATCGTGTTGATAACACATTTTCATTTCCTGTTTCCTTCTAATCATGTCTAGCTGATTATTGCAATAATTAAATCAAATAATGTAACATTTAGTTCATCATTGAACATCTGTTATTGAAGCATAATATGTATTAGGTTAGTCTACATGAAATATCAAGGTTTGAAGGGTAAATATCAAATATGACATTTCTGAAAAAATAATAACATTTTTGAAACAAAATATGTATTCAATGTTATCATAAAGGTTCTATTTTTCATCTCATATATGGGCTTTTATTAGTGTAAGTCAGCAGTGATGAATAAATATATAAATCTCAAAACAACTCAGTTTCTTATTCAAATGCTAAATTGATATTTCTCCAAACCTCATTTGCATTGCGTTTAAATTGAAACAGATACATGTTTGCTCCAGAGACATAAAAATAAAAATGAACACAAAGAACTATCGAAATAATAAAGGCAACAAAGATATTTACTGGCGCCGGTGATCAGTGTTCAAGCGCGCATAATGCCGGCATACCAAATTCTGATTTTCAGGTCAATGCAACAATACAACAACAACATTTTCCGGTCTTTATTTATTTCCATTTATCCTTGTGTTGAGTAAATGTCGATATAATACAATACACACTTCATTCCATTTTGATAGGACCAAATCAGGAATCATCATGAGTCTGACATTTCATGTGGCACAGCTTGATCGTAAAGCAGTAACTGGGGGAAAGACTTTAAATTTCAGAATTGATTTTGATGACAACAAAAAAAAAACATCGAATTAATTTATTGACGAATTAGAAAGTTTTGGAAAATGACATGCCTTCATATTTTATTTGATGAACGTAAGAAAAATCACAGATGGTTTTTGATTCGCACTCCATCATAAGAAATGATTAGGCTTCGATTCAAGGAGGGTCATGGAAAATAGATTCATGCCTTTCCAAATGATTTATGGTCGAAATGAACACAAGAATAGTCCATATTTGAATTCGGTCTGTTGATTCCATTTTATGATCAGCTGTATATTCATCTATTGACGATTAATTGATATGGAGATCTTTCATGTCAAATTTCAGGTTAAATTTTCTTTGTTCAAGAGTAACACGGAGATACTTCACGCGATATTTGACTGTCAAAGAACAAATTTGAGACGT